CCAGTGGCTCATGGACAACACCACACAGCCTGTGTCCATCATCGGCAGGGGCTGCTATGTACCTGTCACTGATGAGCTCGTCATTTCTGGTCCTGGTCCTGGCTCTGACTGGGTCACTGGTGTCTTCCCTGCTGGGGAGGTCTCTGTTCTCCCGGGTTTCTGAGGGGTCGGTCTTGCACCAGACCCATCTGGAGAGAAAGAGAGGATTCAGGAGCGAATCAGGAAGCTCAGCGCTGTGACTGCTGACCCAGGGTCAGCTCCTGGTCCGACAGTCTGCCCCTGCTTGTCCCTGCGCACTGGAGCTGTATTTAATCCAGTATGTTTAACCAGGAAACCATGCAAGGAAACATTAACAACTATTGTATTCACACACTGGTGACAACATCTGTGAGACTCTCACTGCTCGATCCTGTGTCAGACCACATCTCCACTGCCTGCTGTGGTCTGAGGGCTGCAGCCTCACAGTCACACAGAGGAACAGACAGACAAGCACCAGCAGCAGACTGTACCTGTGAGCAGAGTGGAGTATCTGTGTGTGAACGTCACTGCTCGATCCTGTGTTACATCACATCTCCACTGCCTGCTGTGGTCTGAGGGCTGCAGTCTCACAGTCAGATAGGAGCTGCAGGGAGAGGAGCTGATCTGGTATCTGTCTCCCTGCAGCTCAGCTCCTGTCTCAGTCACCCAGATCACTGTATAAGAGTGTAGAGGTGAGGGACAGTGTTCAGGACTCCAGTTAGTGTCCAGGAGACAGTGTAGAGTCACAGTGCTGCCGGTCCTCAGCTCTGCCCCTGGAGAGACTTGAACTGGGAAACAGAGAGACGAGATCACAGGTCACAGAGCAGGACTGACTCAGGGATGAGCAGAGAGGACAGAGCTGGTTCTCTGGCAAATATGCAAACACGGGACTTTTTAAGAAACGCTTTCAAACAACAAAATAAAATAAAAAAACAACTCAGAGGAACAGAAAAGGGCTTTGGAGCTAAAAACTTGAAAAACTCTCTGTGGTTTTGAGTTTTGCCCCTTTGCTGGTGTGTGTGAACTGTCCAGTTTGCGGATTGACTGTCTTGTTGTGTCGCACACGCCTCGGTATAAAGACACACCACCAGGAATTCCTGCACTGTCTGTGTGTTTACTGAACGCATTCGCTGTAAGAGGAGTTTTAATGCGATTTCCCTGATGGGATCAATAAAGTATCTATCTATCCTTAAAATAAGAATAAACTGCTGTTTTTTTTAATGCAGCTGGTAGCAAACGTTGTGCCCTGTGGCAGAGTTTAAGAGCAAGGTATCCAACGGAGGCGACAGAATAAACAGAGGGCTCCTTGGTAATTATTTCCTGCCCCTGAACCGGAGCCAACAGACTGCGGTTTCCCTAAATAAATAAAGCCTCAGGAAACAGTGTGATTCGATCAAATAGACGTCATCTGGTTGCTGCTGGGTCTCAGTCCAGCACAGGACTGTCAGCACGTCCATCAACAGTGAAACCGTGTAGCGTCCCAGTCTGCCGCCCTGACCCGAACAGGCACCTGACCATCTGTCGGTGTGTTTCGGGACGTCCCACAGAGGCGTTCTTTCGTGAGGAAATCGTTGCCCGATTGTGTTTTTAATTCCGAATCGATGGCCAGTGAAATCCTGCTTTAAGACACAACACCTGGCTGAAATGTCAGGAATATATATTTGAGATTCGGCGGTATGAAACTGACAGAGACTTACTGGTGAGGAGGGACAGAGAGACAGGAGAATCCTCTCCTTGCTGCTGGTCATAGACAAACTGCTGACAGGTGTACAGTCCAGTGTCCTGTGTGCTGAGAGTGTGGACGTGCAGAGAGCAGTCAGACCCCAGACTCACTCTCCCTGGCTTCTGGTCTCTGATCTTTCCAAGATTCACCAGTTCAACAGCTGCTCTCTGAGATCTGGAGCTGAAGACCCATGTAGTTGTGGAACAGTCTTTCCTGTTCACTCCTCTACAGGGCAGAGTGACACTCCCTCCCACAGTGGAGAACACA